TCAAAAAAGTACTCCAGAGTGTTGTTCAGCATGGGGGTGAGTAGAAAATGAAGGCTAATCATGTTTTGGGTGTACTATTCCTTTAAGCTGCTGACTGTCACTACCTCAACGCCAGAGTGTTTGCAAGTTTTGGGTACTCTAGCCAAGCTGATTTTTGCTAAGTCAAACTGAGTTTTTGTCAACCTGAGTCTCGGCAGGAAGTCATCCTGCAAACTGGATTTTCTGACCTTCTCTCCCTGGAAGGATCTACTGAGCTTCAAACTGAGCTGGAGATACAGCTCAGTTCCACTTTCCCCCCCGAGGAATCGTTTGAGCTTCGCACTGAGCAAGGGATTCATCTGCACCACAGTCCGTTCAAGTACCGCAGGAAAATTGAGTGGCAGTCAGTCTTTCTCCGTTCATCTACAAGCAACCGCATTCTGGGTAACCCTGTCCGCCCTCCACCATATGAGACACACCGGAACACATTCCTCACCTACTGGAGTCTAAGAGTCAACCAATTCTCTGGAAAAGGAGTCTGCCTACCTTTCTTTCTCTTCAAGTTCTAAAATCAATTTCCCCACTGAACCTGAACTAACCGCAGTGTCCTACCCTCACCTTTCAGTTCTGGTTGAGCAGTGTTCAGAGCAACACTGGACACTCCACAAAACTTCTCAATAAAACCTGTTAAACTTTTCCCCTTGTTTCTCTGGACTGGTTTATCTGCATGTGGGTCCGAACTCTAGACAATATCATGACATCCACATTTGTGTGACCATTTTTTCTATAACCTTTTTGCTGCTGTAAACACCAGAATTTCCCCAATGTGGGACAATAAATGGATTTTCTATTCTATTCTATACTGGACTTTCCCAAATTAGAGGAGCGGCTAGTTTAGGAAATATTTATAACATCAGTTTTAACATCTTTGTGAGCTAACTTGTTGTAATATGGGGAAATCTGATTTAGTTGGGCACGGATAGTAAACTTTGGAAGTTTTATGTAGTTTCTTAGTTTTTCACTTTAGCAGCATTGTTAGTTGGTTAGTAGCTGATTATCAAACCCAAAACTGATCTTGAACGAAAAAAAAAAAGAACATCAGAAAAGAATAGATGAATTAAACATTTAGAAAACATGTCTAGAAGTTTGCGAACATAAACGGTGGTTTGAAGTAGTTGCTATGGTTACAATAGGTGGTTAGGAATGGATGGAGCAGAATGGAGAAATACCTGCTGCTTCTCCATAACTTCATTTTGACGTTTTAAGTTTCACGCTTCGCACGTGTCTCCACTGCCTTGATTCCCATCGTGCTTCATCTACATTCCCTGCCAGTGGTTTTAGCCACTCTTGGATGGAAAGCCTATTTTTCGTTGAATTTAAACTTGCCCATGTTGTCCAGGTAAAAAGTTAGTGACACATCACCCCAAAACATCGTTTTTATTGGTTCCACGATCGGGACGGAACCAATAATGGTTACAGCGAGCAGTTCGGTAAATGGAAGGAAAATATTGCCAATTATTTAAATGTTTGATATGGATTACAAAAATAAAATCCTATTTATGATGTGGTAACAATTTTAAGACCTAAGAAAGACTGGTTTAAGACATTTTAATACCAATTAGGGCCTTGAAGACTTTTTAAGGATCTTCAGGAACCTTGTTTAACTCTTTGCGTTCTATATAAGCTACTGGGACCAGAATTTCCCTTAAGGAGTAATCCCAAGGGATAAATAAAGTTGAGTATAAGTCTGCAATTTCTTCAGTATCAAACGATTAATAAGAAAAAGTAAATAAATAAAAAATAGCTTTTGTTCCCCTTGATATTTTAGCATATCCTTTCCTTTATTTGACTGTAAAACCTCCTTAAAGAAAAGAGACAAAGTAAGTAATAACAAAACATACCCAACAAAGATCGTCAAAAATTACCTGATAGTTCCTTTTTTCAAAACTAGTGCAGTTTTGGACAGTGACACTCAAGACCCGGTGTTCCTTTCTCCTCAACCCTAGAAACTCTACAGCTAAAAGCAGGTGTACCCTTTTTTACTGCATTGATTGTATGGTATAGTTGAAGCAATAACCAGTTTGCATCATATCAGTCAAACTTGATGATAATGCAGTCTAATGCACCTGATAAAAATACGTAAAGGAGAAAAAAACTATTTCACACAGGCTTTATTACTCTGGAATTTATTTAACGGTACAAATGAAACAAGGAGGAAATGATTTGGCAGGCGACTGGCGACCTGTCCAGGGCGTACCCCGCCTCTCGACCATAGACCGCTTCAGACAGGCGCCAGCACCCCTCAACTTGGGATAAGTGTGATGGAAAATGGATGGATTTGTCAGGCAAACGATTCAAACAATATTCTCCGTAAAACAATTCATTGAACTTGACTGAGCAAACCATTTTGTTACGGCTGGATTACTTCAGCTTTATATTAGCCCATTTCTAGGTACATGAGCTGGACGGATTTCACAGGCCAGACTACAAATTCAAAACTTGACCTTTAAAACCAGAAAAAAAACAAAAAACCCAGAAGCCAATAGGTTTAATTTATGGCATTTATGTAGTTAAGTGTGCACAGATACTAATTGACCTTTGCTTGGCTTGTTAACCTTGGCTGGAAAATGAAAAAAAAAAGACAAAAAGGAGACAAATTTCTCAGAATTACAAAAAGGAAAATTAATTATGTGCATGAAAGGTGCTTTCTATTCAAAGATTTAGATTGGTTATATATTCCTTGTGATATTCTGTAATTAGTGCGAACATAAAAGCTATTAATAGGGACTAACTCTGAATGCCTATGATCTTCTGTGGGTGTTTAAAAACCTCCAGTTCCTACATGAGATACAACATGACACAATACAGTTAGACATCAATCATCCATAAAAAGGAATATCATGACCTTTCCTTCTTTCTTAGTTGCAGACCCTGACAAAAGGATGCCTTACCGTTGAAACTTGTTCCTTTTTAACACATTATAATCACAATCTGATATGTATTTTATTGACATTTTATGTTAGACCACCATAGTATGACAGTGAAGAAGGAAAACTGAACCTTTTTCTGTTAAAACCATTTGCATATTATATATAAATAAAGTGTGGCTTACAGTTAAATTCACCCTCTTTACTCTCAAACCCCTAAATAAACTCCTGAGGATCCATTTCCTTTCTATGTGTACATATATATCAAAGTGCTTTGGTCAAATGAAACCCCTAAAAAATAAAAACAGAATAGAGTGGTATTAAATAAATGATGTGTAATAATGGCCTAGTCAAAGTTCACGGTCTTTCCTAATCCACTAATTGAATGGGGCTTAACAAAGTGTTAATTTAAGGTCCTCAAACAAATTTTCACACTTTTCAGATATTTATTTGTAAAAAACCAAAAAAAACTAGGGATGCAACTAATGATAATTTAACAAATTGATTATTAATTTTCTTAATTAATCGATTAATAATCGAAAAGGTTGCTTAAAGAAGATTTTTATGAAATCAAACCAGGTGAAACTAATGTTTCCACTTGAGGAGTTCTTGATAGAACTTATTGAGAGAAGAAAACATTTTTTACCTGAAATGCAAAATGTTTATATATATATATATTACAATATTGATATAATTAGTGCACTAAGTGGATCGCTCTGTAGGCTAAAGGCATGTTCTACAGTAATTGATTACTAAATTTGTTGACAATTATTTCAAAAATAAATTAATTTGATGAATTGTTTCAGCCCTGAAACAAACAAAAAAAGTATTTTTTTCCCCCCATTAAAACTCTGAACTTTTTTTGGGTCTCAGTTGGTCACATGAGATATCAATAAAATACGCTGAGGTTGTAGTTTTCATGGCACTTTAAAATGGAGGGATTCCTTGAAAGGAGGTACTGTGTTCACTAAAGAAAGGTTGACTCTCCTAAATAAAACCATATATTAAACGTAAATCTTGTAGAAGTCATAGTCCTGTCTGAGCGCCTACAGGGTATTAGGAGCGCGGAGTGTTAAGTGCACCATGATCCAGCTGCAGGCAGTGTTCTTTATTTGCAGATCTGAAAATGAAGATTCCTTCATAAGGCGTTTATTTATTTCGTCACAGTGAAAATTGTCCATAGCTTCAAACTAAATCTGTTTTTCTTTCAAACAGAGCTTTCCTTCATTGGTTGCATATTCATAGATAAGAGTTTGATTGTTGCAGAACTTTGGCAAAGGTTCGTGGCGGTTCTGATAGTCAGGTTGCTGTCAGGATTCAGTCGGAGTCCTCGCCAGCGGTGGCGGCCTCCAAAGCGGCCAGAGCCTCCGCCACCATTGAGTCTGTGACGCTCTGCACCTCCGCCTGTTCTTTCGCCTCCTCCTCTCCGTCCTCGCTCTTGGTCACTGAGATGCCGCTCTCCTCTGTGGAATTGTCCGGCGTCTTTGGCAGCGTGAGGTCGTCCCTCGTGCCGCCTGAAGATAAACTGGCGGTGCTGGTGTGGATGTCCACGGACAAAACGCTCCCCTCGTCCCCAGTGTCCCAGAGGTGCTCTGGTGTCCCTCCTACGCCTTCGTCGATCTCGTCAAACGACGAGCTCCTACCTGCGATGTCGCAGGTGGTGATGGCGCTGTCCCAGCCTTTGGTCGTAGCTTCGTAGCTCCGGTGGCTCTCGTACTGCTGTATGTTGGGGTAAATAGGCACCTGGCTCGCATCGATGTCCATCCATCCTGACCCTACGACCTCTGGCTGGATGATGTAAAGCCCCCCGTCTGTAGGGGGTGCCCTTGCGTGGTGTTGCAGCTCGTTGGCGAGTGACGGCGCGGAGTGCAGCCTTTGGTTGACCTGGTTGTTGTCAAACTCTAGCTTGAGCGTGCTGTCGTTGGACTTGCTGTAGCCCAGGTTATGGAAGCCCTGCTTCTGTTCGCTGTGGTCCCCCTGTGGGTCTCCGCCCCGGTGGTGTTGCGCCTGGTAGAGGGAGCTGCCTGCAGAGTCGGTTTTGTGCACATCCGACGCCGTCGATGGGTCGTAGATGTAGCTGTTATGGGGGACACAGATAGAAACAGTAATGAAGCTGGAATCTGAGATCCAAGGAGGAACCAAACATCTTAGAAACTTGGATTTCTTCCTGCTGCATGTTAGCAAACAGAGGTTAAAATGATTAATGCTCAGTAACTTTCTAAACCTTCGTTAGAGGCTTGTCCCTTTATTGGGTTTTCTTTCAAGGACATCTTGTATGAGGCTTTATGGTGGGTCGCAGTCAGACCAGTCTGCTGCTTTTGTTTACGTTTTATTCAGTTTCTCCTCTCATCACTGGGTTCCTGACTCCAACTGGGCTCCTTCCATCTCACACCTCTCCAGGTACTCCCTACCTGCATCCTTCATTCTTCACACGTCGTCTCCTTCACGCTTTTCCCTTGTCTGAGCTTCCTCAGAACACAAGTTCTGAGAATTAAGGAAACTTTTTTTTTTTCTTCCGTTGCATCGACTGACTCTGGTTCCTCCCACCCACACACACACTCCCCCTCTGACTTAAGCACCTCTTAGCAACCCTGCATCTCAGCACAGAAAGCTGAGAAAATGAATGTTTTCCATTTCTTCAGCGCTGCCGTGGTGTCCTCTGCCTAAGGTGAAATCTGAAGCGTGTTTTTAAAGAAGCGGGAAGCTCACTTATGTGTTTAACTTAGAAAAAAAAAAATAATACTTAGATGTGGATAAACAAGGCAGAAGAACCAAACTGTATTTTCATCAGCAACAGGAGGCCAGCGAGTTCATCGCAAAGCAATTTTCAAGAAGCCAAACAAACATGCCTGCTGGTGAGATTTTTTTTTGTTTTTGGACAAACAGAAGAAGAAATAAGACATCTTCTTTCAGGTCTACACCAGGTTCAGCCTCTGATACGCAAATGGAGGCGACGTCAGAAGCAGAGATGCTAATCTGTGACAAAGGGAGCCCTTTATAAACTGATGCTCCAGGCCTCTCTCCGTTTGGGATTAGAATAGGTCTTTTTATCGTGTTAAAAATGGGGAGTTATTGTGAAGGTGAGAATGAGACTAAATGAAGATGTTTGCTGGTTACTGATACTGACCGGTTGGATAGATGGGGGCGTGTCCTGCGCTGTCAGCATATAGTAAACAATGTTTTTGTCCATTTTGTATCACAGGAAAAGAAGTTTTCCTCAGACCAATAGTTGAGTTAAAGGCTACTAGAAGTTCTTAATGAATCAATTTCAGCTTAAGGAGCTAAAAAAAAGCCTTAGTGAAGCTTTTAAAGCCTTATCAGAACTTTAAACATTACAATTCTTTTCCTGTGATACAAAACGGACAAAAACATGAGAACATTTTTTACTATATGCTGAATCTTGACACTAGTTAAACAGTTACTACACAGGCTTTGAAAGAAATGAACAAGGACCTGATAAGATATGGAAACACTGTCTTAAAGTCCCCAAAGGGGGCGCTGTAGCAGCAGGAAGGTATTTCTACACTGAACAGAGCAGCATTAAAAGCTTTTTCTTAAAAAGAAAAAACAGCAGTGAGGAGAATTGCAGCGAGCGTCACAGCTGGTCTCTTCGCTTAGTGCAACATCTGGACGCTGATAAGAGAAAGGAGAGAGTTTCCTTTCTTCAGTAATTCCACCATTATGATGCAGATCAGTAAATATAGAAACCAGAATGTAAATTAGCATGGCAGCTTATAACAATAAAACCCAAGGTGGACACCGCTGTGCACGATGGTGGCTGTGTCATGCTGCGAGGTTCCTATATTTAAGCAGGGATAGGGATGACGCATGATGAAAGCAAATGGATTCCTGAGGATTAAATCTAAAAGCTACATTACAGTTTATATGAGCCTTTGTGTAACTCAGTCATAAAATAAAATACATTTGTTGTTTCAGAAAATGAAAGGTTCGACTGTGCTGCAAATCCTGGACATTTCCAGTCCACCCCGCTGATCCAAAGAAATAAACTAAACGTTGGGTGTCTGCTACTAGCAGTAGGTCTGGGTTTATCCAGGCAGCACAGCTGAACATTTTCTATTTTTTACCGGCTCCTCATGGCTGACCCACTAACCTAAGCCCTCAAACTCTGCTAATCCCAGAAATGTGACACTCCACACAATTAGGGAGGTATGTGTTTGTGTCACAAGCATTCATATGTGTGTGTGTGTGTGTTTTTGAGAGGGGAAGAAAAAAGAAAACTAAAAAAAAAAAAGTGTGACAAAAGAAAGGAGGGAGGGAGGGGTTTTACTACGCCGGAATGTGAAACACATTGAGCCCCTTCATTAATCTCCAATCAGGAAGTCGTTTCCTGCTCGCATCAAACGCAGCACAGACCTGACAGCGATGCATTGTACGCCTTTAATGAGCAGACGGTCCGGGACAGGAATACAGTAACCAAGGGTGCTGTCTATTGACATATTGACTCATGGTTTGCACTAAAAGCCCATGTGAGGCTCTCTGAGCAGACATGTTATAAATGGACCTTTCTCTCTGTCTGCCCAAGACAAGAAATCTATTTCACCGGAGAGGAAACTAACTGTGAGAGCTTGGAAAACAACCAAAGGTGTAGGTGTCATTAAAATCTGGGCTTTCAGGCTAAAAAAAAAACACATTTTAACATGTTTTGATCCTTAAATTGCATTAGATTTCCACGTTAACATAAAATTAGCCGTTTTGTTTGCATTTCCACTGTCATACAATAAGTCGGCCTGTCTAAGTTCCCACTCTGCAAAAAATTTTAAATCTTAGTCATTTTTTCTTTAAATATCTGCATTTTTTCTGGAATTGAGGAGGTAAGTGAGACACTTTGCCAATGGAACAAGACAATTTACATATAAAATAAGAAAAAAACAATTGCATTGTCTTATTTGAAGTGCATTTTATCTAATTATCTTATTTTAAAGGGATAGTTCGGTATTTTTGACATGAATCTGTATGGCATCCCCATCACCAGTGTCATGCAATCACACTGACTTACCCCTTGCAGCGTCCTGTGAGCAGAGTTATCGTCCAGTTTTGGTCAAGCCGAAAGTAGTCCTGCAGGTTTTTAGGAACAGCGAAATAAAACTTTTCTCCGCCGCGGAGGGAGACATGGCTGTTGTTGGGCTCGCTGTCTGAATGACGGCGCGCACTGATACGAACAGAGAGAAAATAGGACCAATTGATAACGACGTGTGACTTTTTCCACTACAATGTTTTTGGGATGCGAAAATATCACTCTTTTGAACACATAATGTTTTGGGAAGAGAAAAGTTTTATTTCGCTGTTCCTAAAAACCTGCAGGACTACTTTCGGCTTGACCAAAACTGGACGATAACTCTGCTCACAGGACGCTGCCAGGGGTAAGTCAGTGTGATTGCATGCCGCTGGTGATCGGGATGCCATACAGATTCATGTCAAAAATACCGAACTATCCCTTTAAGAGTAAAAATACTCATTCCATTGGAAAATCCTCTTACTTATCTACACAAATTAGGGGTAAAAACACTGAATTTAAGTAATCTTTACATATTTCTAGATTGTTTTGCAGTGCATGCAGCTGCTGATTGTTCCCAAAGTGTCTCAGCTCTGCAGTCATGTGATTATTAGGAGGTTTTCTGACTCGGTCTGAGAGGAGCAGCCTGGAGCGCAGGAGGAAAAACGTAGAGCTGCTTTCTGCACAGAAGAACCCTAACACTTTATAGAAAAAGTTACTATTTTTTATCACTTGCATGGGTCTAGAAGCACAATATGTATATCAAGTCACTCAGCAAAGACCCTGCTACATGGCTGTACAGCTTATTTTGGCATTTGACCAATTAGATGAGCCCTTTAATGATATATTATCTACTGTGAATTAAGTTGGAAAACAAAAGTTAACAAGTCAAGAAAAAAAGGTAAAAAGCTAATAGAAAAAGTTAAAAAGTAAAGTAAAGTTAATAATCCTAGTTAACAATTATATTTCGGTTTATAAACTAAAAATTGAAGTGCCATTAATGCCTCTAAGGTTATTGTGTACCAAATAAAATGAGTTTCTTTCACTCTCAGTGTTTTTCATGGAATTCTTATAGAAGCACTTCTGTTAAATTTCTTAATATATTCAGGCAAGTTGGTGTTTCTTGTTATTGAATTTTTACCATCAAAATATCCATGTTTTTTGAATGTTACAAAGGTAATAAGGTCTTGTCCTGGATTCCAACATCACTATATGCAAATTTTGATTTTCAAAGTGTTTCACTGAGTGTCCTACGAAGGGTTAATAATGGGATCTGAATCCTTATTTATAAAGCTTATAAGATGTTTGTCTTTCTTATTGAGCAGATTCACTATCAGATAAAAATAATCCAACTAAGGAAGTTTAACAGGAAAAAAATGTTAAAAGAAAAGGTTAAAGACATACATTAACACATTTCTATTTTAGATTTTCTTACAATCTTTTTAAAGAAAAGGTCTGAAAGTGAAGTTTCTTGTTGTTTTCTGTTAAGTCTTAGTATAATAAGACCTGCCTTTGTTTATTTAATAAACCAATGAATGAATTTGTGGTAGTCTATTGGACAGTGACAGGAAAATAGAGAACCATAAAAACAAACAAACCAAACGTTAAAAGAGGAGAATGAAAAAAGCCTTCTCACCTTTTTACCATCCGGCAGCATTGGCACCCCATTTGGCCAGATGTGTTGTTGTGCTGTGGAGACACATTAACAAACCCATTAAATATTAATCAGCCAAACATTCTTCAGGGTAAATGAGGTGAAGTTTCAAAACAAAGCGACCTAAACACCATGTCAGATTAGAACTCATCAGGAGAAGGTTAAGAATCATCTAATAATTAGTGATCTCTGACTTTTTAACTAGTTAAAAACAAACTGACCAGTTGCCAACATTGATGTTTGGTAACGAGGATGAAGACGGTGTTTAACTGCAGCTAAAGATGTTATTGCCATCGATCACCGCTGCATGTCTGTGTGTTTACTACCAACGTGCGGCCCTGGTCTCTCCTGATGGCGTGCTTCACACGGGGGCTTTGGCATTTCATTGCCTGGGTTAATTATTCATCACTGACTTTTGAAAAGGTTTGTGTCAAAGTGAAGTAGAGGCTGAGGGAGGTGGAGGACGAAGTGTCTGACAATAAAGAAGAAATGAGCAGAACTGACAGAGAGCATCTGATCCACTTTATTTTAAACATCCTCATCCTTGTCCTTCTGTTAGCTCTACTCTCTAAACTGCAAATCCCAGCATGTCTCTAACATCTTAGGAACTGCTTCAGTCTTTCTTGCAGCCATTTTTCTGTCTCCCATCACTGATCCTTCAGCACCTCCTGTTTGGATGTTTGATCCCAGAAACTTCCCTCATCCTGAAACAGACACTTCTCTCCTGCTGTTCATCCCCCTCCTCCTCTATGTGTCACATTGTTTTGGACAGAATATGATAAAAATGTCATTCTACTATTTCATACTTCTACAGATTACCAGTCTTTAAAAAAATTTAACTTATTATTGCACACATGGAACAGATCCCAAACTGGACGCAAGAAAGGAAAAAACATTATTAAAAAAGGAATTGGGGAAGGTGGGAAGGAAGGAAGGAAATAAATAAGAAAGAAGAAAAGAAGCAGGAGGCAAGGGAATTAAAAAGGAAGGAAGTAAGGAAATAAATGAGGAAAAGGTCAGGGAGGAAATAAAGAAGGGAGGAAGAAATTAAGCATGGAGGAAAGACAAAGAAAGAAATAAAGAAGAAAGGAGACTAAGAAGAAAAAGGGTAAGAGAAAACGGACATTAATAAAGAAAGAAGGAAGAAAGGAAGGAAATAAAAAAGGAAGGAATAAATTAAGGATGGAAGGAAAAGGGAGGAAAAAAAGGAAGGACAGAAGGAAGAAAAGACAAAGGATGGAAAAGGGATGGAGGATGAAAGAATAAAAAGAAATATGACAAAGAAAAAAAGCAGGGGGTAAGAAAGTAGGATGAAGGAAGAGAAAAGGGAAGGAGTGATGAAAGGCTGAAGGAAGCAGGGAATGGTTGAAGGAAAGAAAGCTAGAAGAGAGAACGGTTGAAAGAAAGACCAATAAAAGAAAGGAGGGAAAGAAGGAAGGAAGGAGAGAGAAATTTAAGGATTTAAGGGAAAAAAAAAGGGTAAAGGAGGGATGGACAAAAGAGGGAGGATGAAGGATTGAGGGATGGGAAAGAAAGAAGGGGGGAACGAAAGAGGAATGAAAGGAAGAAGCCGCATGATGCAACAAGCTACAGTCTAAAAAAGTGGCCCTGCAGAGCACCCAGCCAGGCTGGAGGGTCCCGTATCTCCCAGGGATGGAACAGGAGAGGAGCTTTATTTCCCCAGAGCTCTTTGAGAACCGTCACATCAATAAAGCCTTGTGTTGCAGTCACAATCAGCCAAGTTTTACAATTACAGTTCACATTTGAGGAGATCAATAATCCTCTTAAGAGCTGCACCTCTCAGCCTGCTGGGTGTGCAGGTTTCTCCCTGCTCTTCATAACCGACTCTTCCTCTTGTTTTATTGTTTTGCAGCGCCATTTCTTTCCTAGTGCATTATGTATATCCCATATTTCACTGATATTTGTTTGCTGCTTTCTGCTCTGCACGACCTCAGGGGTGTTTTTAATGCGGCTGCCTCAAAGCCATGCGGGCTTAGCTGGATGCATTTGGGGAGCATCCACAGCCCACCATCCATCCAAATACACAGCTGTAGTAAAAAGAAAGTAGCTCCACCTTCAATCCGACACAAAATCCTACCAGGTTCTAAAATGATTGAAATCAGACTAAAAATAAAACCCTGTGAAAAGACTTCATTAAATCATAAGTTTAAACCCATTTACGTAAACAGACAGGTTAAAATTATGACTAAATACTATGCTGAAAAACCAGGTATTAGAAGAGAAAGAAATGTCTCTACATAATTTTAATGATTTACGTAAAGTGGCTCTTAAAGCACAAAAGTCTGTTAAAATAAAACATAACTTAATCCACTTTGGAAAAAAACTTCAACTCCATTTGAAGAAAAATAACCCCAGAGCATAATTGGACCACCACCGTGCTTCACTGTGGGGTTTTCTGTGATGTGTGGGCTTGTAGGGATGGGAACCGTTCACATTTGGACCTATTTGCAATATAATCACTATTTCAAAATTGCAGGGGCACACAGGTTTGGTAATTAACAAGACTAAGAGGCTATTTTTTTTTCTCACTCCAGCCCTTTAGGGTGGGTTTGCTGCCACACAGAAGAAGAAGAAACATCCAGCTAGCATGCATCGCTATGCATGTGTTTCTAAATAAAGGTAACAATATATTCCTGCAACAATGGATTCTGGACAAGCAAGCTCTAATGTTAAAGATTAAACTAAAACCTTTGAGTGTCACGTGTGATTGTGGTTAGTGCAAAGGAAAATCAAATTAAAATGGCAACCGCAATACTGGTTGAAAATAATTTTGATTTAAGGCTAAATCGTTCAGCCCTATAACTCATAAAAATGACTCATTGGATTAAGTAAATTTTCATCCAACACATTTTTTCTAACTGAAACAAATCCACATTTATCTGTAAGGTGTAATTTTATTTCGTCTGTTCCACATCATTTTTAAAAATACATTTAAAAGGAAATTAATACATGCACCAAAATTGAATATGTTTGGTTGGTTCAACTAATTAAAATCTAATTCTGTTAATCTATATTTGTTCCTGCATTGAATTAAGTTATGTTCAACTAACTTACAACATTTAAATAACCCAATGACAAATGAATTGGTCGTATTTACTTTAAGTGACATGCATGGATGTTTGTTAACAAACATCCATGCATGTCACATGGTCAAAATTACCTTGAAAAAAATATAGAGCTGCCTGTGATCTTGGCCTCAAGATGGTTTCATCTGTGTTTACTTGGGCAACAACTTTAATATCTCTTTTTGATGTAGAATTATCTGCCATGCTAGCTCGTTCTCTGGCCAAAATGGCCCGACAATTTAATGAAGTGATCTTAGCAAGGGACAACTTCAACGAGCATTGCTAAGTAACCTAAAACTCTCGAGTTCACTTGAAAGACCAACCTTATAAACTCACAAAGCGGCCTTATATTGAACTCAATAATTTTAGGTAACTTTACATCTTACATAATTGAGTGTACCTGGTAAATAGCTTTGGTACTTGTACCTATTTTTCGGTAGCATGCTAACATTATCTTAAACATGGGATTATGTATCTGGAGCGAGAGGCGAAGATGATTTGCCGTGCCTGCTTTTTTATTTACATGAAGCAGCAGCAGCGTTGGACATCATCACGCTATTGGCTTGCAATGCTAGGTTCATGTGTGGTATGGAAAATCCACCACTCTTCCATTCCCTTTGTCAAACTAGGTGCGTTTCCATCAACCATCAAACTGTGCAAATTGTAATTACCTAAATAAATTCACTAAATGGAAACATTGGGATTTTGAATCAACTTTTTACGCGTCGATGAGGTGGTTTGTATTGAAATCCTTTATTTCATAAAACTGCAATTGAAACAGTTTTTTAACAACACAAGAGTCCAGTAACTGGGCCTTACTGCCTCGTAAAAGGATGAAGACAACATCCGCTGATGTTGTTTTTAGAGTTATTGCGTTCACAAACATGTTCACTTGCTAACTTAATCGTATTTGTTTTTAATAGAAATACTGGAAATCTAAATCTTTGCATTTTCCAATTTAGCAAAATATGGACATAGTTTTGTGCATTTTTGTATTGGAAATGGAAATGTATGGCACTTTAAGGTAACGAAACATGGTACAATTTAATTTTAAGTGAAAAAATATATATTAGGACAGAAATCAGTCAGTAGCTTTAAAAGTACTGAAAATCTGTACCCTACTGGATAGGCTGTGATAGATTCTTTCTTGGTCCTAAACTTTGAACTCAGTTTGATTGCTTCCCATGAGGTTTGGAGTCATTTCAGTCCAGACAGAATCTAAATCCTTCCATCTTAAATCCTAACTATCTGGACCAGACGTGTGGAGGACATATGAGTTGAGGAGAAGTCTCCAGTTCCTGCTGCCTCATATTCTCCTAAATTAACCGCATTTCTAATCCTTTCTCCTGCCTGATACTTTCATACAATAAGATCATTTCAAACATTTCTATCTCTCCTCAATCTGAGGCTTTAAGTATGTAAACTGGGTGTCCTTAAAGGTACTCAATGTTTATCTCCAATCAATCGCAAATGTGTTTTTTTTTCTGAAATATAAATTAAATGTTGAAAAATATGTTACTGCAAATATTCATTTTTAATTCATATGGCATATGCACTTTCTTAACTGTGTTCCTTTTTTCCTTCAACTTTCCCATTAAATCCCACCTGTTAAATGTATGACAATCTTGTAGTCATAAATTTAAGAGCTGCATTAACAGTTTCAGATGACCAATCAAGTTATGCTTTTCAAGTGTGCACTGGCTGGTAAAAGCCTTTGCTAGTGTCTAGGTAACTACACCCCTGTCTGCTGAAAATGTAATTCAGCATCTAAAATGCGAAATAGACTCTATTTGTTGAGCACACAGTGATAAAATCTACGGTCAGCCACAAGGTGCATATTCCATTAAAGCGCAGAGAATGACTTGAACGTACATTGAGAGCAAACATGCCAGATAGGATGATTAATAGCCGCCTCACTGGTTTGCATTGGACTTGGGTTAGTTGCACAT